CAAACTGAGGGTGTTGGAGGGAAGAGAGGTAGAAGGTAGGATGAGCCTGGTGGTAGATATTATGGAGGGCACGCATTGCATGGAGCACTGAGTGTGGTGCATAAAACAATGAATCTTGGATACTTAAAAAAAAAAAAAGAATATTGGTGAGGGATGGGGAGAAAAACCTTAGAACTCCAGTACTGACTATATATAGAGATTTCATCAGTGCCTCAAAAACACTCTCTTGTGTTACAGCTTAGAAGGAATGAATGTACATTAGAGTTAGAGCTCCTCTAGACCCACCCAAAAAATCTTAAAATCAAGCTATAATATAATATATGCAGGAGACAGAATTTAGCCAAATTAGAGGGGATTGGTAAATTCCTTGTGTGTGTGTGTGTGTGTGCACGCATGCACAGATTATAGAGATAGTTCTCTATAATCTGTATATAGATATATATCTATATATAGATTTATATATCTGAACTTTTTTTTTAAGATTTTATTTATTTGACAGAGAGAGATCACAAGTACACGCAGAGAGAGAGAGAGAGAGAGTAGAGAGAGAGAGAGAGAGAGGAGGAAGCAGGCTCCCCGCTGAGCAGAGAGCCCGATGCGGGACTCCATCCCAGAACTCTGAGATCATAACCTGAGCCGAAGGCAGAGGCTAAACCCACTGAGCCACCCAGGCACCCTATATATCTAAACTTTTGCATAAAACCAACCATATACCACTTTTAGGTTGACCAAATGATTGACTGAGCTGCCTGCTAGGAAAAGTATCAATTTCTTTCAGAGAAAGATAACAGAATCTAGAGTCTTCACAATGTACTACACAAATACCCAGTATTAAATCATACAAAGAAACAGGAAATTGTGTTTTTAAAAGTCTAGAAAAAAATCAGTAGGAAGCCCAGAAGTTATTCTATATATAGCAAGGATTTTTTTTTAATATATAGCAAGGATTTTAAAGTAGATATTATAAAGATGTTCAAAAAGGTAAAGAAAAAAATATGTTCAAGTAGTTAAAGGAAAACATGGCCTTAATAAGTGAACATAAAAGGAGTGGTAGTATAAAAATGAAAAATGAAAATGAACTAAATGATAATTCTAAAACTGCAAATAAGAAAATCTAAATTACCAAATAATTTGTTAGACGTAACAACCAATGGACATGGTAAAGACTCAGTGAATGGGTAGATGAATTGAAAGAAATCACTCAATCTAAAGAACAGAACAAAAAATGAAAAAAGAATAGATCCTGAAAAAACTGTGTGACAATGATCAAATAATCTAACATGTGTAAGGTTAAGGTTCCTCAAAAACAAGAAATCTGGAGTGAAAAATATTCGTGGAAATAATGGCCACATTATTTCACAATTTGACAAAAAAAATTTACATATCCAAGAAACTCAGCAAATCCCAAACAATTAAAATATCAAGAGAACTAACTATATCTAGGAATATCACAGTCCAATTATTGAAAAACAAAAATAAAAAGGAATTATTTAAAGTAGCCAGAGAACAAAAGGAAACATGACATAAAGAGAACACAGATATGAATAACTGCTACATTTCTCGTCAGAAAAAAGTGCAAGCCAAAATATAACAGAAAAATATCTTTAAAATACAGGCAGGCAGGCAGGAAGGCAGGAAGGCAGGAAGACAGGAAGGAAGGAAGGAAGGAAGGGAGGAGATACATTAAAGAAAAAAAATAATAAATTGGACTTTATCAAAGACAAAACATTCAGCTCCTTAAAAAGATATTTAAATGAATGAAAAGACAAGCAAGAGAATGGAAGGAAATATGATTGCAAAGTTAGAACATGATTGGAGAACTGGAACTTTTAATCCCATTCCAAACCTCCAGGTAAGGGAGAAGGGCTGGAGGTTGAATCAACTGCCAAAGTCCAGTGGTAAAGAAGACTCCATAAAATCCCAAAAGGACAGGGTTTGGAGAGCTTCCAGGTTGGTGAACACATGAATATTTGGGGAGAGTGCAAACTCAAAGAGGGCGTGGAGAAATCTGTACCCTTTCCCCTACTTTATTCTATACATCTCTTCAATCTAGCTGTTCCTGAGTTATATCCTTTTCTAATAAACTAGTAATCTAGTAAGTAAAAATATTTTTCTGAGTTATGGAAGCCATTCTAGCAAACCCAAGGAGGGGTGTTCATTGGAACCTCTAATCTATAGTTGGTCAGAAGCACAGGTGATAACCTGGGCCTTTGATTGGCTCTGCAGTGGGGGGAGGGGAAGCCTTGTAGCACTAAGCCCTTGACATCCAGCCGGGAACTGACTCTATTTCCAGGTACAAAGTGTCAGAACTGAGTTGAATTGTAGGACCCTAGCTCATGTCCAAGAATTGCTTGGTAGTGGGGAGACCTCATGTTCACACATTGGAATTGGGTACAGAACCTTTTAATTACTTTGTGCTATCTTTGTTATTACTCTATATAGCTGCTCTTTAATCACTCTCTTTTGTTGTGTTGTACTAATTGGTTTGCAGCTATATTTTATCTGGACTGCATGATTATACACTTTATATAAAGAAAATTTCTTAAATAACTCTATAGCCTACTAGTACATATATATTCTCCAGTGTCTTGAATTAACTGTTTCATAAACCAATCATTTGATATTTTATAAAGTTTGTCCCAAACTATGGAAATAAACCCTAAGCCAGATTATTAAAATTCTAATCAACATTTCTGCTGGAGAGAAAGAGATAAAGAATCAGAATGTCACCTTATCCCAATTTTATCCTGTCAAACTGAAAATCTCAAGAGCAGAAGTTTATCAAAATCAAGATTAGAATTTTTTGATTAACATAGAGTTCTTCACCAAAACAAGCTGAAAAGAAATAAGCATGAGCCCCCTATAGATGAAATCCATGCATTTTGTCATCTTTCTACCTCTTTCCACGTACAATATCAGAACCACTTGTAAGAGCAAGAGCAAGTGTTTTATGGATTCTTAATTCTGGATTTCACACCATGAAAATATTAGTCCTACTTCTTTTTTCGTCTAAGAAACAAATTCTCAATGAACTGAAAAGGATCTAGGATCTGCTAGTCTTGGCACTAGCGATAAAGAAAATGCTTATTTTAAAAATTCAACATTTCTGAAATTATAAACAATTCTTATAGCCTAAATACAATCAACAGTACATTATTAATAAAATAGATTATAATATTATATTCTTAATATTATATTACTATGTTAACTATTAGTGATATTTATGATTCATTTATTAATAAAAATATAGACATCAGAAATGAATGCATAAATGTAAATATAGCTTACAAAGATAACTACATAACTTACATTCAGTCCTTACCTTCAGTATTTGTCATTTTATTTTCATGAAAAATCTCAATGTCTTCCTTAGGGGCACCAAAGAGAACCAAAGCTTGTGATGTGGCATTGTCTTTTAAAAAGAAAACAAAAATCACAGTGAGCAGTTAATATAAATTTTTAAGTAAGCAAAATAATGCGTAAAACTATGTTGTTAAAGTATTGTCCTTGCAAAAGCAACTATAATTCAAATATTAACCAAACCCCACAGAAGAATATATTTAGATGTTTTTTTCTCTGGTACTTCAACTGGGTTAACTCTCAAAAGAAGGTATTCAAAATAGCACTCATCTATTAAAAGCAAACACTGAGAGACTGTCCAAAGTGACATCACCAAAACAATGGAGCAGGAGACTCTAGTTCCCATCCTACAATAAAGCTCAATAGTTAAATGGCTATGAACAAACAAAAATAGTTCTGGGAGAGCTCAGGAATTCATTCAACAAACTTCAGCAACACAGCAGAACAAAAAAGCCTGTGTATAACCTCACAAATAAGAAAGGAGGTCAGTTTCATTTTGACTGCATCATCCCTTTCACCAGGCCAACACTGCTCAGCACCAAGAGGGAACACTCCAGCTTGAAATAGTTCCCCTCACTGGGAAAGGGAGAACAGGGTGAAAGAACAGCTTCCCCACCCTTTTGGACACTGCACAAAGGGCCTGCTCTGGTTTCATCTTACTAAGAGACAGGCAAAAGCAAGACTTATGGAAATGCTTTGAACAAGGAAGAAGGGCAGAGGCTACCAATACAGTCATACAAAGAAAGTGATCAGAATTCCCAGTGGCCCACTCTGTGGAGGACCCCATGAGCTTTGCCAGCACAGTTTTCCTTCTAATATAAAAGAGAAAGAAAGTGTTTCCCAGACAAACCAAAGTGAGGAAGTTCATCACCACCAGACCTGCCTTACAAGATATGCTGAAAGGAGCTCTTCAAGCTGTTATGAAAACACTTTAATTAAAACACGAAAATATTTGAAAAAATAAGACATGTCAGTAAAAATAAGTATATGTCAATTTCAGAATACTCCAATACTACAATAGAGAAGTGTGCTAATCACTTAACTCTAGTATATAGATTAAAGAAATATAAAAAATAGCTATAGCTTCAATAACTTACTAATAAATGCACAATATAAAAAGATGTAAATTGTGACATCAGAAACATAAAAAGGAAAGAATAAAAGGGTAGAGTTTTTGTATATGATTGAAGTTGTTATCTGTTTAAAGTATACTATTATAACTACAAAACGTTTTGTGTAAGCCTTAAGGTAACCAAAAAGCAAAACCTATAGTAGGTATACAAGAGAAGAAGGGAATCAGAGTATACCACCATGGAAAATCAATTCATTAAGAAAGACAGAAAGAGAGGAAGAAATGAACAAAAGAAGTACAAAATAGACAGCAAATAATCAACAAAAGTCCTTAACGACCAATAATCATTTTAAACATAAATGGATTAAGTTCTCCGAACAAATGGCATAGAGTAGCTGAATGGATTTTTTTTTTAAAGACCCAACTACATGCTACTAAAGACTCATTTTAGCTTTACTTAGAGTGAGGGGATGGAAAAATATATTCCATGCAAATGGAAACAGAGATTAGTGGTAGCTATACTTCTAACAGACAAAATAATCTCATGTTTAATAGCATGAAAAAGGGCTTGCTTCCACAGCACATATACTAAAATTGCAACAATGCAGAGAAGATTAGCATTGCCCCTGTGTGAGGATGGCACACAAATACAATAGCGTGAAAAGAATAAAATACTTAGGAATAAATTTAACCAAGATAGTGAAAGATTTATACATCAAAAACTATAAGACACTGATGAAAGAAACTGAAGAACACAAATAGATGGAGAGATATCTTGTGATCATGGATCAGCAGAGTAAATTTTGTTAAAACGTCCATTCAATCAAACACTATCAAAATCCAATGGCATTTCCCACAGAAACAGAAAAGAATCCTAAAATTCTTATGAATCCACAAAAGATCCTGCAAAGCCGAGTAACCATGAGGGGGAAAAAAAAGAACAAAGCTGAAGGCATCACAATTCATCATTTCAAACTATATTACGAAGCTATAATAATCAAGAAAGTATGGTACCGGCATAAAAACATACACAAAAATCAGTAGAACAGAACACAGAGCTCAGGGGGAAAAAAAAAAAAAAACAACCCATACATATATGATCAACTAATACTTGACAAAGAAGACGGGACAGTCTCTTCCATAAATGGTATTGGACACCACCTCAATTCCAAATTCCTTATGATCCTTGCTTTAAATTGTCTACCAGGCATTATTTATGTTTTACTTAGATGTCCAACTAGGACCTTGTCCTGTTCTTTCATTTGGGATAAATTTCTCTGTCTCCTCATTTTGTCTCCCTCTCTTGTATCTATTTCAGTGTGTTAAAGTCAGTTACGTTTTCTGCTGTTGAAAGTACTGACTTTACGTAGAAGAGGTCCTAGAATGCCCTGCAGTGCAATATTCCCTGTTCACCAGAACCTGGCACTTCAGCAGAATATCCTATGTGTGGAGTTTATTCCCAGCTATTGTGTCTGAGTCACTTTTCTTTCAGAGTGTTTGTCTGCACTGACTCTCTGCCTGCTGTGGGCTGTCCTTGCTCAATCTGGTGTTAGTGGAATTCAAGTAGGCCAGCTCTGAGCGAGGCAATGACCATAAGGTTACTGGACTTGAGAAAGAAGTAGAAGACATGAATGAGACTCTCAACACAAAGATAAGGTATAACATAGCAGAGAAAAAGGACTCAATAAATTAAATGAAAAAAAAAACTTGATGAAATGTGGCAGAAGCAGAGGAATGAATTACAACACAGAGTAATAGAAAGTAATCAAGCTGAACAAAAGAGAGAAAAAAGCATTACACAAATTGAAAATAGATTTAGGGAATTCAGTGACTCCATCAAACATAATTAATAATGTTTGTATTATAGGAGTCCCAGAAGAAGAGAGAGAAAAGGGGGCAAAAAATTTATTTGAAGAAATAATGCTGAAAACATCTGGGAAAGAAATCTGGGAAAGTAAACATATATCCAGATCCAGGAGACACAGAGAACTCCCATCAAAATAATAAAAGCAGACCCACAACAAGAGATAATATAATTAAACTTGCAAAATATAGTGATACAGGAAAAAATCTTAAGAGCACCAACACAGAAGAAGTTACTAACTTACAAGAGAAAACTTATAAGGCTAGCAGGAGATGTTTCAACAGAAAATTTGCAAACCAGAAGGGAGTGGTATGATATTTTCAAAGTGCTGAATGGGGAAATCCTGCAGCCAACAATGCATTACTCAGAATAGAAGGAGAAAGAGCGTTTCCCAAACAAAAACTAAAGAGGTTCATGACCACTAAACCAGCCCTACAAGAAACACTAAAGGGGACTCTTTTAGTGGAAAAGAGAGACCAAAAATCAAAGTATAAAGAAGGAAACACAAATGCAGTGAAAACAAAAAATTTCTGTAAAAAATCAGTCAAGGAGCTCACAAAGAAAAGGATATAAAATATGACATCATATTCCTAAAACATGGGGAGCAGAGTAGTAAAGAATGGGTTCAAACTTAAGTGTTCATCAACATGATATAGACCGCTATATGCAGAGGAGGTTATATAAAACCCTAATGGTACCATATATCAAAAACCAGTAATAAAAAGGCAAAGAATAAAGAGAAAGAAATCCAAATATTTCATTAAAGAAAAACAACAAAACATGAAAGAAGAAAAGACAAGAAAGATACAGAGAAAATTTTTCAAAAACAACCACAACTAATAAAATGATAATAAATACATATCTATCAATAATTACTTTGAATATAAGTAGACTAAACACTCCAATCAAAAGATATAGGTTGAGGAATGGAAAAAAAAAAAAGACCTATCTGTATGCTGCCTATAAGAGACTCATTTTAGACCCGAAGACTTCTGAAGATTGAAAGTGAGGGGATGGAGAAATATCTATCATACAAATGGATGTCAAAACAAAGCTGGAATAGCAATACTTATTTCACCAAAATAGACTTTAAAACAAATACTGTAACAAGAGGCAAAGAATGATACTATATAGTAATAGAGGGGACAATCCAATAAGAAGATATAACAATCGTAAATATCTATGTACCCAACATAGGAGCACCCAAATACATAAAACAGTTAATAAAAAATATAAAGAAACTAATTGATAATAATATAATAATAGTAGGGTACATTAATACCACACATCAATGGACAGATCATCTAAACAGAAAATCAACAAGAAAACAATGGTTTTGAATAACACACTGGAATAGATGGATTTAACAGATATATTCAGAGCATTCTACCCTAAAACAGGAGAATATACATTCTTTTCAAGTGCACATGAACATTCTCCAGAATAATCAGATAATAGCCCACAAAACCAGCCCCAAAACAATCGAGAAGACTGAAGTCATACCACGCATCTTTTCTGACCACAGGCTATGAATCTAAAGTCACTTACAAGAAAAAAAATCCGGAAAGACCACAAATTCGTGGAGGTTACATGACATGTTACTAAACAATGAACACTTCAACCCTGAAATAAAAAACAGAAATAAAAAAGAACATGGAAAGGAATGAAAATGAAAACACAATGGCACAAAACCTCTGAGATGCAACAAAAGCAGTTCTAAGAGGGAAGTTAATAGCAATAACAGGCTTACTTCAAGAAGCAAGGAAAAAAAAATCAAATACACAACCTAAACTTACAAGCTAGTAAAAGAACAACAAACAAAACCTAAAATCAGCAAAATAATAAACAGTAGAGAGAAAAATGATTTAGAAAATAAAAAAGGCAATAGAGCAAATCAATGAAACCAGAAGGTGATTCTTCGAAAAAATTAATAAAACTGATAAACTTCTAGCCAGACTTGTCAAAAAGAAAAGAGAAAGGACTCAAAGTCACAAATGAGAGAGGAGAAATAACAACCAACACCACAGAAATACAAAAAATTATAAGAGAATATTATGAATATGAGAATATTATATATTCTAGGTTGTCCAATTGGTTCTAAATACCAACCAATTGGACAACCTAGAATATATAAATTCCCAGAAGCATATAAACTACCAAAACTGAAACAGGAAGAAATAGAAAATTTGACTAAATTGATACCAACAAAAAAATTAAATCAATAATCAAAACATTCCGAACAAACAGAAGTCCAGGACCAGATGGGTTCATAGGCAAATTCTATCAACATTTAAAGAAGAGTTTTTGATTTTGTTTTTTAATTTTTTTTTATTCTTGAGAGACACAGAGACAGAGAGGCAGAGGAAGAAGCAGGCTCCCCACTGAGCAGGAGCCCGATGCAGGACTCAATCCCAGGACCCCGGGATCATGACATGAGCAAAAGGCAGACGCTTAACCATCTGAGCCACCCAGGCACCCCTTAAAGAAGAGTTAATACCTATTCTTCTCAAACTATTCCAAAAAAAAAACAGAAAAGAAAGGAACACTTCCAAATTTATTCTATTAAGGCCAGCATTATCCTGATACCAAAATCAGATAAAAATGCCACTAAAAAAGAGAACTATAGGCCAATATCCCTGATGAACATAGATGCAAAATGGTCAATAAAATACTAGGAAACTGAATTCAGTGATACATTAAAAAGAAAATTCACTATAATCAGAGAGGATTTATTTTCAGGATGCAAAGGAGAAGGATAAAACTCATATGATCATTTCAGTAGAAGCAGAAAAACCATTTGACAAAGTACAACATCCAGTCATGATAAAAACCTTCAACAAGGTAGGTTTAGAAGGAACACACCTCAGCATCATAAAGGCTATATATGAAAAACCTGCAGCAAACATCATCCTTAATGGGGAAAAAACAGAGCTTCCCCCTAAGGACAGGAACAACATAAGGATATCCACTCTCACCACTTCTATTCAACACAGTTTTTAAAGTCCTAGCCATAGCCAGTCAGTAAAGTCTCAGGAAAAAATCATAATTGATGCACAAAATCAAGTACAGAAATCTGTTGCATTTCTATACACCAATAATAAAGCAGCAGAAAGAGAAAAATTAAGAAAACAATCCCATTTACAAGTGCACCAAAACACAAGCAGTAACTTCTTTAACATCAGCTGTAGCAACATTTTTCTACGTATTTCTCCTGCGGAAAGAGAAACAAAAGCAAAAATAAACTATCGGGAGAACATCAAAATGAAAAGCTTCTGCACAGCAAAGGAAATCAACAACAAAACTAAAAGGCAACTACTGAATGGGAGAAGATATTTACTAATGATATATCTGATAAAAGGTTAGTATGCAAAATATATAAAGATCTAATAAATCTCAACATCTGAAAAATAAATTATCCAATTAAAAAATGGACAGAAAATACAAACAGGTATTTCTCCAGACATACAGATGGCCAAGAAACGCATGAGATGATCGGTATCACTGATGACCAAGGAAATGCAAATCAAACCTACAGTGAGATATCACCTCACACCTGTCAGAATGGCTAATATCAAAAACACAAGAAACAACAGGTTTTGGTGAAAATACGGAGAAAAAAGAACCCTCATGCACTGCTGGTGGGAATGCAAACTGGTGCAGCCACTGTGGAAAAGAGTATGGAGGTTCTCAAAAAGTTAAAAATAGAACTACCCTACAATCCAGCAATTGCACTACTGACAATTTACCCAAAGAAGACAAAAACACTAATTTAAAGAGACACACATGTCCCTGTGCTTACAGCAGCAT